TTGGCCTATATCCCTCAAAACTCTTCCTAATCGTATACCCATCCAGATGCCTTTTAAATGTTGGAATTGTACCAGCCTTCACCACTTCCTCTGGCAGTTCATTCTATATACACATCACCCTCTGCGTGGAAAGGTTGCCCCTTAGATCCTTTTTAAATCTTTTCCCTCTCACCTTAAACCTATGCCCTTTAGTTTTGGACTCCCCTACCCTCAGGAAAAGACCTTGGCAATTCACCCTATCCATGCCTCTTACGATTTGATAAGCTTCTATAAGGTCACCCCTCAGCCTCCGATGTTCCAGAGCAAAAAATAGCCACAGCTTATTCAACTTATTCCTATAGCTCAAACACTCCAACTCTGGCAACATTCTTGTAAATCTTTTCTGAACCCTTTCAAGTTTCACAAAATCTTTCCTATAGCAAGGAGACCAGAATAGAATGGAATATCCCAAAAATGCCCTAACCGATGACCTATACAGCCGCAACGTGACCTCCCAACTCCGATACTCAATGCACTGATCAGGGTACCAAACGCCTTCTTTTACAGTGATGTGCCAAACTGTTCCATCATTGAGGATGGGGATATTTATGGAGCCACCTCATTCTGTTAGTGGTTTAACTTTCTACCACCATTAATGACAGGAGATTGCAGGACTGCAAAGTTTAGATCCAATCTGTTAGTTTTTGGATCACCTAGCCTATCACTTGGCTTGTATAACTTTATAAATGTCCCTTGCTCCTTCACCTTTTTACATTGAAGAATTGAAGTCTATTCAAAACTTTTCTTATAATTCAAACTTGAGATTGGAAGTCAGTTCCAGATATTTATAAAAGGCAAAATACTACAGATGCCGAAAATCTGAAATAAAAACAAAAATAGTGGTGGACAAAATCAGCAGGCCTGGCAGCATCTGCCAGAATACGGAGTAGAGTTTTTGGTATCCTTACTTTAGTAACAATGTACAGAAATTGCATCAGAAGCAGTTCAGAGAACAAAGAAAAACACAGGGCCTTCGCCTTAGGCCCTCCAAGCCTGCGCCGACACAGTTTGCCCTTCCATATTAAAACTGTCTTCACTTACAGGATCCATATCCCTCTGTTCCCCTCCTATTCATGTATTTATCCAGGTGCTTCTTGAATGCTGCTATTGGGTCTGCTTCCACCACCTCCTCTGACAGCACATTCCAGGCACTCACCACCCTTTGTGTGAAAAGCATCCCTTGCACATCACTTTTAAACCACCCCCCTCCATACCTTGAACCTATGTCCCCTAATAATTGACCCCTCCACCTTGGGGAAAAAGCCTCATACTTTCCACTCAATCCATGCCATTCACAACCTTATAAACTTCTATCAGCTCGCTCCTCAACCTCCTGCGTTCCTGTGAAAACAAACCCAGTCTACCCAACCGTTCTTCACAGCTAAAATCCCCCATTACAGGCAACATCCTGGTAAACCTATTCTATACCCTCTCCAAAGCATCCACATCCTTCTGGTAGCGTGGTGACCAGAACTATATGCAATAATCCATCTGTGGCCTAACTAAAGTTCTAAAAAGCTGCAGCATAACTTGTCTATCATTATACTCAATACCCGTTCCAATGAAGGCAAGTATTGGCCATTTTTACGACCTTATCTACCTGCATTGCCACCTTCAGTGATCTGTGGGCCTGCACCACCAGACCCCTCTGCATATCAATACTCCTAAGGTTCTGCCATTCATTTTTTAAATTTCCATCTATACTTGACCTTCCAAAACATATCACCTCACATTTGTCTGAATTAATCACCATCTGCCATTTTACTGCCCTTGCCTCCAACCAGTCCATACCCTGCTGTATCCTCTGACAATCCTCCTTAATATCCGCAACTCCACCAATCTTTGTATCGTCCGCAAACTTACTATTTAGACCAGCTATGTTTATGTAGATTCATTTATGTAGATCATGAACAGCAGACGTCCCAGCACTGATCCCTGTGGACATTAACTAGTCTACTTTCTGGGATGAAAGGTTGAGCAAATTGGGTTTCTACTCATTGGAGTTTAGAAGAATGAGAGGTCAACTTAGAGTCATAGAGTCCTACAGCAAGGAAACAGGCCCTTCAGCCAAAACTGGTCCATGCCAACCAAAATGTCCATCCACGCTAACTCCATTTCCCTGGACTTGGCCCATATCGTCCTAAACCTTTCCTATGCACGTATTCATCCAAATGCCTTTTAAATGTTGTTAATGTACCTGCCTAAACCACTTAAACTGGCAGCTCATTCCATTTGTGTACACCCATTTGTGTAAAGAAGTTGGCCCTCAGGTTCCCATGTATTCTTTCCCCTCTTACCTTAAAACTGATGCCCTCGCATCCTCAATTCCCCAACCCTGGGAAAAAGACAGTGCATTCACCCTATCCATGCCTCTCATGATCTTATACACTTCTGTAAGATCCCCCCTCAGTCTCCTATGCTCTAAATTTAAAAGTCCTAGCTTGTCCAACTTCTCCCTGTAACTCAGTCCCTTGAATCCTGGCAACAGACTTGTATATATCTTCTGTACTCTTTCCAGTTTAATAACATCCTTCCTGAAAATAAGGTGACCAAAACTGAACACAATACTCCACGTGCAGACTGACCAATGTCCTGTACAACTGCGACATAACTCCAACTTCTATAATCAGTACCCTTACTGATGAAGGCCAGTGAGCCAAAGGCCTTCTTCACTGTCTTGTCTACCTGTGACTCCACTTTCAGAGAACTGTGCACCCGAACTCCAAGGTCCCCCTGTTTCACTACACTCCCTAAGGCTCTGCCATTCACCATGAAACTCCTACCTTGATTTGACTTTCCAAAATGCATTACCTCACACTATATCTATATTAAACTCCATTTGCCGTTTCTCGGGCCACTTCCTCAGATGATCGAGATCCTGCCGCAATTTCTGATAACCTTCCTCACTGTCCACAATACTGCCTATTGTGGTGTCATCTGCATACTTACTAATCATGCCTTGTACATTCTCATCCAAATCACTGACATAGATAACAAATAGCAGTGGGCGCAGCACCAACCCCTGAGGCACACCACTAGTCACGGGCCTCCAGTCAAACAAGCATCCTTCCCCTATTACTCTCTGATTCCTAACGTCAAGCCAATTGTATATCCAATTTACCAGTTCTCCCTGGATTCCATGTGATTTAACCTTCCAGAGCAGCTTACCATGTGGAACCTTATCAAAGGCCTTACTGAAATCCAAACAGACTACATCTACCGCCCTGTCCTCATCAACCTTCCTGGTCACTTCAAAGAACTATAACAATTTTATGAGGCATTGTATCCCACACATAAAACCGTGCTGACTACTCCTAATCAAACCCTGTCTTTCCAAATGCACGTACATCTCATCCCTCAGAACCTTCTCAAGTAACAAACCTACCACAGATATTAAGCTTACTGGTCTATAATTCCCAGGTTTTTCTTTGCAGCCCTTCTTGAATAACGGCACAACATTCACTGCCCTCCAGTCTTCTGGGACCTCAACCATGGCTAACGATGATGCAAATATATCAGCCAGGGACTGCGCAATTTCTTCTCTAGCCTCTTGCAGGGTTTTTGGATATATCTGGTCAGGACCAGGAGATTTATCCATCTTTATTCATTCTAATACTTCCAACACCTCCTCTACTGTGATACGGACTGTCCCAAGATGTCGCCACTAACTTCCCCAAATTCCCAAGTCTTCATGTCTTTCTTCACGGTAAACACAGAGGAAAAATATTAATTGAGGACCTCGCCCATCTCCTGCGGTTCCACACATAAATGACCACTTTGGTCTTTGAAAGGTCCTATTCTCTCTCTAGTTATTTTTTCTCCTTTAATATACTTAAACAAACAATCTCTTTGGATTCACCCTAACCTTCTTAGCTAAAGTTATCTCGTGCCCCCTTTTCACCCTCCTGATCTCCTTCTTTAGTAAACGTATTGAAGCTGACAAGATCTTTGTGGAGTAGTCAAGATGAAGAGGACAAATAATATTAAAAGCTAAAAATTAGGTGTCTCTCATTAATATCAAGATGAAGAGAATTGCTTTCTCTTGAAGGGTCATTAATCTGTGGAACTCTCTTTCTCACACAGCAATGGAGGCTGTGTCCTTGAAAATACTCACGCCAAGTGAGATGTATGATCAACAAGGGAGTTAAGGGTTATGGAGGGCAGACGGGAAAGTGGAGTTGAGGTCACAATCAGACCAGCCATGATCTTATCAAATAGTGCAGCAGGTTCAAGGGATCAAATGGTCTACTCCTAATTCTTGTGTTTTTGTATTTTTGAAAGCCAAATGAAGAAAAAAAAATGAATTCATCACCTTGTAGAGTGATTAGCTCGTTAATTTGGAACAAGACTAATGAGTGACCATTTAGCAAAATGATCCTGTATTTATAAAAACACAGGAGGAAGTAGTGTGTAGTGGTAATGTCATGGAGTTGGTAATCCAGAAGCCCAGTGTAAATTTCTGAGAATATACATTCAAATCCCACCACAGCAGCTGGTTAAATTTACGTTCATTTAATTAGTTCATCTCAATTAGTGGAATTAGTTAAATGAGTGTCAATTGTAGTTAGAGTAAATGCCCAAAATAAATATTCACTATTCTTTACAAGGAAATCTGTTGTCCTTCCCTGATCAGCCTACATGCAACTCCAGACTAATATGGTTGACTCTTAGATAGTAGGAACTGCAGATGCTGGAGAATCCGAGACAACAAGGTGCAGAGCTGAATGAACACAGCAGGCCAAGCAGCATCATAGGAGCAGAAAGGCTGACGTTTCGGGCCTAGACCCTTCATCAGATTGACTCTTAACTGCCTTCTGAAATGGCCTAGCAACTCGATTAATTTGAAAGCAAGTACAAATGGACAAAAAATGCTGGCCTTGCCAATTAAGCCTACATCCTGTGAAAGGCTAAAGAAAAAATAGCAGAGGTTTAAAGTCTGTGTTTCACACGTATGCCTTTACCTGTTCTAGATTTTCTCCTCGTTTCTGCATGGCTTTTATTACATTCTCACAGGAGTATCCCATACTAACTATTGTTGCAGCACACTGCCTCTCACTTGGAGTCAATGATTTCAGTGGATCAAAACATTCCGATTTCTTTGCCACATCAGTGATGTTTATGGTGAACTTTTCTGCAGCAGGTTGGTTTCTGGAATTAACCTGGTTAGAAGACAATAGGAAACAAAACCCAAATACAAGTTTATATTCATGGTGTTCAATTCTAAAATCTTGAAGAATCCAGAATCTTGCATTAAATTTTGAAAATTCTACTTTTGGAGAAATCTTAAAGAGTACGTATGTATTATTACTTAGATAGCACAGAAGAGAAAACCTTTGTACAGATAACAATCTGAAGAGAAATCCTGAGTTAAATTTACAAGTAGTAAAGCCAATAAAATATTTGTGTTACACAAGTAAGGTTAAACTTTCTTTAAACAACACAACTTAACCTCATCCTAAAAAGAACATTACAATCAAATAGGTATTTCTATTTCCTATAATTAACAAAATTGTCAAATTACAAGCAATTTTACAATTTAGGATCAACAAATTTATTTAACAGCAGAAAGATGTGTGTAAAGCAACAATGCATTAACCTCATACATAGTCTTCTAATATTAAATTTTTAGTGCAAAGCTGGTGATTAAAAAGCTAACTGGGCTCAGCTCTTTTAAAGCAGGACATCAGCAAATTTATTTCAGATTGATAAAACACATCTTCAGTAAGTTTTGCACGTTACCCTTATATTGTAACTAAAGAATATCCTTCCCAATACAACTTTCAATTGGTTTTGTTAATTGTGCTTCTGTACATTTTTGTCTGTTTTGTATTGCATTTTTCTGGAGGTAGTACCCAATACAAATTGGCATTGTGCAACAACCACAAGAAGTGCTTTTGCATGACTAAATTGTTTGAATGGATCTCACCATTTTACTTGCAACCAAAAGGCTGAATTCAATTTAAAATGGTTATTAAATACTGGAAGCAATTTACACGCAAGATCTTGACGATTCATTTTTAAAAATTGAGATTTGGGCATTGCTGGCTAGGCCAGCATTTATTACCAATCCCTAACTGCACTGGAAGGTATTCGTGAGCTGCCTTCTTGAAATGCTGCAATCCATGTGATTTTGTTACACTCACAGTGTCACTGGGGAGGGAGTTACAAGATTTTGACCCAGTGAAGGAACAGCAATTATAGATCTAAATCAGGATGGTATCACCTGGAAGGGAACTTGCAGGTGGTGCTGCCTTTGTAATTCCAGGGAGAAGCGGTCACAGGTCGGAAGGTGTTATCAAAGGAGCCGTGGTGAGTTGTTGCAACCTTTACCCTTTTAAAAATACCTTTTTCTACCTTTACGCCTTCATATCATAGCAAACAGTCAAATTTAAGCAGCGCTACTGTAACAATAAAAATAGCACAATTAACTGTTGAAAAGATCTGACAAGCAAAGATCAGAGTAATGAAGCAAGTTTTTAAACTTTTATTGAAGGAATATTCAGCTATCAGAGTTTGAAAAAATTTCAGGATTGCTTTTTTTAATTGGCACTTTAATTAAAAAGTATAGTCACATAACGGGATGCAGTTAAGACGACTCTTCCTCCCCCAAACCATGGTGCCGTTACACAGTGCTTTGGTGCTGTTTTCCTGTCAGAAGCCCTTTACATTTACAGATGTGCAATGATCAGAAGTATACCATGCAGGGGACTAACAGGTTACATACAAGAAATGATTCTTTTAAAATGTGCAGAAATACTCACCATATGGAAATTTTAAAGGGAATATACGGTGCAACAACTTGGCAGTGCACAGCATGGGGACATTGCAGGGAACATTGACTGCAACCATAATAATTTTGGGGGCAGTTAACACATTTAATTTCTGTATTTATTTATTGAATGTTTTTATTTACTAGCACTTAAAATAGATAACCACTATTAGTTACAAGACAAAACTCTGTTTCTTTCAAAACATGCAACATGTTTGATTTCACCAATATCTTCATGTAAGATGGTAGCATAACAGTATTAAAAATAGAAGCGAGATTAGGTTATACAACCTCCTGTTGTGCCTTAACTTCACTTTTGATCCTATCCCTACAAGCTTTGATTTCCTTAGTGTCCAAAAACGTTCCAAATGTAGTCTTGAATATATTCACCAAACTGAGCAGCTCTTTAGGATTGAGGCTTCCAAAGATTTACAACTGAATGAAGGATTTCTCATTTCAATCCTAAAAGGCTGACTCTGCTGACCTGAGATTATGAATCCTCAGTTCTAGTCTCTGACTATCCATCCTGTCAAGCCTTCTATTAATTATATACATCCAGTAGGATCAGTATTCTTTTAAAATTCTATAGGCTATTTTACTTATTTGCATCTGATCACACAACCTTGTTATTCCAGGAATCAATCTAATGAATCATCATTGATTGCCATAAAATAGGGAGACCAAAATGCACACAATTGGCTGAACCTTATGGAACTTGCAAGCGTGGGATAGGCGTAATGGGGGTGGTGGTGGAGCCCAACCTGTCCATTCCAGATATTAATCTAGTAAACTTTCTCTGAACTACTTCCGATACATTTATGTCCTTCATTAAAAGAGATACAGTGCTCCAGATGTGGTCTCACCAGTGCTCTACAGAACTAAAACAAACTTTTGGACTCAGTTTCCCTCAGAATAAATCAGAACATTATGAGGGTTCTCACTTCATTGCTTTACCTGCATTCTGTGATTTTGCTCAAGAATCATGTACAAGGATATCCATGTCCCTCTGCATATCAAAACATTGCAATCTGTTACCATTTACGTAATATGTTTCATTTTTATTCTTCCGGCCAAAATAGACAACTTCATATTTTCCCACATTGTGCTCTATTTGCCAGATTTTTATACAGTCGGAACAAGCCCTTTGGTGCAACTCGTCCATGCCGACCAGGTTTCCTAAACTGAACTACTTCCATTTGCCTGTGTTTGGCCCATATCCCTCTAAACCTTCCTTATCCACATACCTGTCCAGATGCCTTGAAGTGTTGTAATTGTACTCTCCTCTACCACTTCCTCTGGCAGTTCGTTCCAAATATGCACCGCCCAGTGTGTGAAAAACTTTTCCCTCAGGTCCTTTTTTAAATCTTTCCCCACTCACCTTAAACCTAAGCCCTTTAGTTTTGGACTCCCCTACCCTGGAAAAAAAGACCTTGGCTATTCACCCTATCCAACCCCTCATGATTTTATAAACCTCTACAAGATCACCCCTCAGCCTCCTAGACTCCGGGGAGAAAAGTCCCAGCCTATCCACCTTCTCCTTGTAACTCAAATCCTCCACTCTCGCTAACATCCTTGAAAATGTTTTCTGCATCCTCTCCAACTTAGTAACATCCTTCTGAAAGTAGGGTGACATTTTTAAAATCTTTTTGTAGCCTCCTTATGCTCTCTTCACAACTTAATTTCCTAACAATTTTTGTATAATCCGTTAATTTGGCAACCATACCTTCTGCCCCTTCATGAAAGTCATTTATATAAATTGTAAACTGTTGAGGACCTAGAAGTGATCCCTGTGGTATATCACTCATTTTTCTCTCTTTCTCTGCTTTAGAAGGACTGTAATGCTGAACTTTCAACTTGATTTTTTTATTTTTCTAATTTATGCCTAAAACTTTATACCTGGGCACCTTTGTACCTAAGATGGTGCCAGAAATGCTGACCTTGTACACCTTTCACTGTACTCATGTATCCCTGTACTTGAGTACATGTGACAATAAAACACGGTTGCTGGAAAAGCTCAGTAGGTCTGGCAGCATCTGTGAAGGAAAAAACAGAGTTAACGTTTTGGGTCTGGTGACC